CTTGGAGGCCACATGTCTCCCTCAGAACCAGGAGGCCCCAAGGCTGTCCTTGGTCAAACTGAGGTCTGCATAACCAACATGGCAGGTGCTGAATGATAACCCTCACCCTAACCCTAACTCTCAGCCTGAACTGAACCCCTGACCCTAACTCCTGGCCCTAATCCCTAACCCTCACCCCCAGCATAATCCTCACCTTCGCTCTAACCCTAATCCCTGACCCAACCCTAACCCCTAACCCTCACCCTTACCCTCGCCCTAATCCCTGAACCTAACCCTCACCCTACCCTCACCCTTACCATAACCCTAACCCCTGAACCTAAACCCTCAGCCTCATCCTGACCCTCACCCTAAACCCTAACCCTCACCGGCGGTGCCTGAGCTCAGAAGTCTGTCCGGCCTCACCTGAGCCTGAGAAGGGCGTGAAAGGTGATGAAGGAAGCCTGGTGCCCCCTGTGACCCTCTGTTTATAGTGAAAACCTGTCCCCTCAGTATAAATGGCTCTGCAGCCGAGGCCGGGGCAACCAGGGCAGGAGAGTATGTGCCTCCCATCCCATGGAGAGCACCCTCCACCCCGGTGCTAACTGCGGCCTCAGCTTGCTGCCTCCCCCTGCTCAGGGCCCCCCGTCCCGCAGCCTTTCCCGGGAGGGTCCTGACTCACCCCTGCACACAGCGGCCTGTGCTCCCAGTGCCCCTGCTCCCGACCCTGGCCTGTGCTGGTGGCAGCCAGTTGGCCACCGAGCCCCCCCCCCCCCGTCAGCTGTGTCTTCTGCGCAGTGACATGATGGGGCACTGGGGTCCCAGTGACAGTGGCCAGGTGCCGGGTTCTGGCTGCAGGAGGCTGCCGGGTCTCAGTGGAGGACCTCGTCTTCCTCACTTTATGTCCCTGTGAGTTGGCAGTGACGGAGGCACCTGCACCTGGGGTCACTCTGCTGGGGACCAGTCTGTGCACCTGGCGGGGCTGGAACTCGGGGCCCCCGGGGGCCAATCAGGGAGACTCTGGGCCCTGCCAAGCGCTGGGACTCCCAACTCCCAGGGCCCTGAAGCTGCAGTCTGTGGCCAGTCCCTGTAGGGTCCCAACCCTCCGAACAGGGGAGGCAGGAGGCCTGGAGACCTCGGGGACACTGAAGGGAACTAACAGGGGACCCGCCCCTGCCCGGTGGGTCGCACGCGCTCTGCCCGCACAGGCCGCCCCATCTTCTGTGAGACGGGACGCCGTCGGGAGGGCAGCCTGTGCCCTTCCTTCCCACGCTTCCTTGTTGTTGTTATTTTCAACTTATCAAAAAAAGGCTTTTAAACAAATTTCAAACAAACAGATGCTTGAAACAAATCCAGGCAGGTCAGGATTAAGATGACAACGCAAGGCTCTGCTTTGGCCGCACTGAACACGACCTCCCCAAGCTCAGTGTGTCCCCCCGGGTGTCTGCGTGCCCGTCTCTGTCTCTGTGTCTGTATCTGTCTCTGTCTCTGCCTGTCTGTCTCTCTCTCTCTCTCTCTGTCTCTCTCTCTCTCTCTCGCCTTCGTGTTTGTTTTTTTTTCCAGGGTGAAGCGGGAACGCAGTCCCCCACTACCACAAACCAGGCAGTCGGGTTACCCTTGGGGAGACCGCAGGAGTCGGTCGGCAGGCCTGGAGAGCGATGGATCAGCCTCGCCCTGGGAAAGCCGCCCTCGTGGGCGCGGCGTCTCCCCTGCCAGGCAAGTGTGCCGTGCCTTTGTGTTGTGTGAGCAGGGTCACGACACCCATCCGTTCCGCAGCTGGCATTTTCACTGGGCGGCGTGTCACCCGCCACTGCTTGGCCAGTGGCTGAGTCTGAACCTCCCCGCCGAGCTCTTCCCCGTGGGGAGCGTGTTCCCCCTCCCCCGCCTCCGTCCGCTGTTTCCCGCCGGAACCGCGACAGAGGCAACACGCAGCCCGCACTCGCGCCGAGGCTCCTGTAGGGCAGAGTCCTGCGGCTGCATCATGGCTGTGGCGTCGTCACCCGGCTCTACTTTGGTGAACGCTGTTCCTCTCTCCAGTAACGTACAGTTCATTTCTTTCCAACGGTGCGTGAAGATGCGGACTTATTTTCCCCGCCAGGAGTTAATGCCACCGGTTTCCCGACTATTTGCACACCCGGTGGAAAGCAGCATCTAACGTTTTCATGAGCATGTCTGCATTTTGAGTGAGACTGAGCAGCTTTTAATGACGTGGATTCCTGGCAGTGACGCTATGCTGCCGCTGTCTAAGATGTTACCGCTGGGGACCGTGGGTGGAGAGTGTCCTCCCTCTCTGTGTTGTAAAGTCAACATGAAAGCCTCAGGCCCCCAGCAACGGAATGGACCCCCTTTTTGGCCAAGGGTACCCAGAAAATCCTTACAACTGAGTTCCGGGCCATGACAGGGAGGAGGTCCAACTCGCCTCCGTGTGCCCCTCCCTCCTAGAGCCCAGACACCACCGACAGGCTCTGTGTTAGAGACGGCCATGACAGGGAGGAGGTCCAACTGGCCTCCGTGTGCCCCACCCTTCTAGAGCCCAGACACCACCGACAGGCTCTGTGTCAGAGACGGCCATGACAGGGAGGAGGTCCAACTGGCCTCCGTGTGCCCCTCCCTCCTAGAGCCCAGACACCACCGACAGGCTCTGTGTTAGAGACGGCCATGACAGGGAGGAGGTCCAACTCGCCTCCGTGTGCCCCTCCCTCCTAGAGCCCAGACGCCACCGACAGGATCTGTGTTAGAGACGGCCATGACAGGGAGGAGGTCCAACTGGCCTCCGTGTGCCCCTCCCTCCTAGAGCCCAGACGCCACCGACAGGCTCTGTGTTGGAGACGGGCCATGCACAGCTGGTGAAAGAGCAGGGGCTTTGTGGCATCAAGATACCAAGTTACAAACAAGACTGGAGGCCGGGTCAGGCTAGGGTTCAGTCATGCTTACAGCCCACAAAATCTAGTTAAATGAGGTTTTTTCCTTTGCTGGCTTGGTATCAATGACAAGTAAGTTGTCATTGTCTTGTCTTAAGCATCCCTTCCTCCCGATTCAAGGGTTTCAGATGAAGCTGAACACTGTTCGCCACCTGCCCATTGAAGAATCCTCGAGCCCCACCTGGCAGGCTGAGCCAGTGGACGCCTGCCAGGTATTTATGATTTCACCTGGACTGCTTGTCTCCCTAAAATATATAAAACCAACCTGTGCCCTGACCGCTTCTTGAGACTGTGCATCCCTGCACCATGGTCACTAAAACTCAGCTCAGAATAAACCTCCCTAATATTTTACAGTTTGTGTTTTTTTTTTCCATTGACACTATAACCCTTCTAATGACTGCATGCAAATCTATTATTACTCCAAAATTAAAAGTAAAATGAAATTAATCTCCATCCTACTCCCCAAAAAAAGTTCTATTAAATTCTTGGTGTGTTAAAAACAAAATTAAAAAAAAAAACAAAACCACACAGGAAAAGTAGAGAGACAGCATGTGGCAGAGAGGCCCCAATTCACAGCACAGAGAAGATTCTTGAGAAACCTTCACTACTATAAGGGTAAAGCAATTGCTAGATGGAAGTTAATAGGCAAACAGGTGCAATACATACAACTGATATAAAAATAACTCATGTAATTGTGAAATAGAAAAAAAACAATAATAAGAGAAAACAATTTTAAGGACGTAAGGTACATTTTCCACACTGAACATGGAGTTGAATTGTTGGTAGAGAGGACAGCTCAGTTTGGGGTGGGGGGATGAGAACATCGGACACAGACGCAGCCTGATTAAGCTGTGATTGTGGCAGTCTGCACATATGGATCAGGAGAGAGAACAGTGTCACGAGCCCCGAATGCCCGTCCCCAGCTCTCAGCAATGACCTCACGGCCAGACTCACACCCCCGGCCCCTCTCACCGCCACGGCCCTTTATCATGTCACAGCCAGCAGCACACGATGGATTTCCTTCACCTGAGTCAGCAGGCATCGCTAAAATATAAGAACTTGTATTTTCAAAAGAGCACGCACAGCGCCATTATCGTAGCTAAAAACTATAATTCTTTAATATCATGAAATGCCCATCAGTGTTCAAAGGTCCAATATCCTCAGACATGTAATAAATGTGGTTTTGTCCTATAGCTTTTGAATCAGCATCCAAAACACATCCTTACCAGGGGTTCACGGGCAGGTCTCTCTAAATCCCCAGGTGCCCTTCTGGCACTCTGTGCTGTCGTGATCCTTGCTGTCCATGTCTCAGACAAACCGGGTCTGTGTCCCTGTGTTGGTGCAGTCATCGTTGCCGTGGAGGAATGCCCGAGGCTGGCACCTTGTCAGGAAGGCAGGTGTATCTGGCTCATGGCTCTGCGGACCGCACGGGAAGCAGGACACTGGCGTCTGCTGCCGGGGACGGCTGCAGGCTGCCCGAGTGACATCGGGGCCCCCAGGGCCGGACCGAGTCCCGCCGACCTGTCCCTCGCTGAGGGGACTGCCTTGGCCGTAGACTTAAGCTACTGTTTCACCCGGGGCTCTTCGGCGATGCATGAAGACAAGCTGAAAGTGGGGACATGGGGGCAGCCCGTGATCCATGCCTGTGAGAGGCCCAGGATGCGCAAGGTCCTGCATGGGGTGGGCGGTGGGGGGTGAATTCGTGTCAGTATTTTTTGCTGGCAAGTTTGATTGGGAGGCCCAATGTCTGACCTGTCTCAGAATAAGACACGTGGAATGGCCAGGGAACAGCAGCAGGTACGAGGTGGGAGATCAGCCCCTGTTTGACTCCTGGTTGGCTGCTGTGCTCGGTCATCTTCTGTCACTGGGGCCACTGGCCCTTCCCTGCAGCTGTCGGGTTCCAGATGCAGATGGTGCCTTATCCAGCTCCGTGTCCCACAGCCCATGAACGCCTGGTGTGCCGACTGCGTTGGGTGGGTGGGTTCCCAGTACATGCAATTCCCTCTGGAAGGAGGGGAAGTGGGGGCTCCTCACTGCCGAGCATCTCTCTGTGGCTCTCCCCGCCAGCCCTCGGGGCACTGTGTCTGTCTCTGCCACCGTCCTTCACGTGGCTGCACATCTCTGGCCCAGCCTCCGCAGGGCCTCCTTCACGTCCCTGTTCCGCAGGCTGTAGATGAGGGGGTTGAGCATCGGGATGACCAGGGTGTAGAAGACGGAGACCACCTTGCCCTGCTCCATGGACTCCACAGCCCCTGGCTGGGCGTACATGACAAACACAGTCCCACAAAACAGGGACACGGCCGTCATGTGGGAGCCGCAGGTGGAGAAGACCTTGCGCCGCCCGGCTGCCGAGCGCATCCTGAGGATGGTCACTGTGATGTAGCCGTAGGAGACCAGGATCACGAGAGTGGTGGCCACGATGATGAGCCCGCAGACGCTGAACATGACCAGCCGGTTAAGGGCGGTGTCGGCGCAGGCCAGCTGCAGCAGCGGGGGCACGTCGCAGAAGAAGTGGTTGATGCGGTGGGAGCCGCAGAAGGGGAGCTGGAACGTGAGGCTGGTCTGAACGATGGCGTTGAATGAGCCTCCGCAGCAGGTGCCCATCACCATGCGGGCGCAGGTCGCAGGGCACATGGTCACGTGGTACTGCAGTGGACTGCAGATGGCCACGAAGCGGTCATAGGCCATCACGCCCAGCAGGAGGCCCTCTGTGGTGACCAGGAAAGAGAAAAAGAAGAACTGGGTGGCACAGCCCGCAAAGGTGATGGCCTTGGTGGCGGAGAGGAAGTTGGAGAGGGCCTCGGGCGCGATGACGGAGGAGTAGCACAGGTCCAGGAAGGAGAGGCTCCTGAGGAAGAAGTACATCGGGGAGTGCAGGCGGCCCTCCACAGTTATGAGCAGGATCATGACGACATTGCCCAGGACGGTGACCACGTACAGGACCAGGAACAGCGCAAAGAGCAGGGCTTGGAGCTCAGGTCCGCCCTCAAATCCCTCCAGCACGAAGTCTGCCTCTGAGAGGTTCCCACGTCTGAGGGTTGGCATGGCAACCCTAACTGTACATTAGAACAATTGTATGCCAACACATTAGATAAGCTCATGACATGAAAACATTCCTAAAAACTCACAGATTAACAAAATCAACTCAGGAAGAAATACAAAATATCAACAAATCTATCACAAGTAAAGAGATTGGGTCAATTATACAAAAAGCTGCCAACAAAGAAAATGTCAGGGCCAGATATCTTCACTGGTTAGTTCTACTGAACATTTCAAGAAAAATTAACACCCAACCCTGTCTAACTCTTCAAAAAGTAGAAGAGTGGAAAATACTTACATATTTATTCCATCGAGTCTATATTGTCCTGGTACCAGAACTAGACAAAGACATCAAAGGAAAATGACAAGATAGATGGGTATTTCTTGTGTATATAGGTGTGAAAATCCTCTGCAAACTACTAGCAAGTCAAACCTAGCAGCATATTAGGTGGATTAGAGAGTATAGCCCAGAAGGATTTATCCCAGGAATGCAAGGATGGTTCAATTACAAAAACCAATCCATATAAAACACTGTAAAAATGGAATGAAGGAGGCAAAACACATGATCACCTCAACAGATGCAGAAAAACTACAGAACAGTGCTGAAAGAAATTAAAGAAAATTTTAAGAAATCCTTTCATGAATTGGAAGACTTAGCAATGTTGAGGTAGAAGTGCTCCCCAAATGGACATACAGATTCAAGGCAATCCTATCAAAATTGCAATTACTTTTTTTTTTTTTTCAGAAATGAATACCGAATAGACAAAACAGTCTTCAAAAACAAAAACAAAGTAGGAGGATTCACATGTCCTTATTTAAAAAATTTTGACACAGCTACAGTTATCAAAAGAACATTTACTGCATTAGGATAGACATATGAACCAATACAATAGAATTGGGAGTCCAGGAACTCACACATCTATGGCCAATTTATCTTTGACAAGGGTGCCAAGACCAGTCAACATGAAAAGCACGATGGTACTAGGTCAACTAGATATCCAAGTGCAAAGGAATGAAGTTGGACCCTCATATCATGTACAAAACTTAACTCTAAATGACCAAAAACTAAATGTAAGCACAAAAACTATAAAACTATTAGAATAGAACAATGCATCAGTGTAAATGTTGTGACCTGGAATTAGGTAACACTTTCTGAAATACAACACCAAAAACGTAAGCAACAAAAGAAAAAAATAGATTAAGTTGGGCTCCATTAATATTAAAATCCTTTGTGTATCAAAGAATACAATCATGAAAGTGAAAGTACCGTTGATATTAGGGGGAAAATATATGCAAATTATCCATCTGATAAGGTTCCAGTACTCAAAAAATAGAACGCACTCTTGCAACTCAGAAACAAAAATACAAATGATTAAACATGGGCAAAGGACTCGATAAATATTTCTCCAAAGAAGAGATACAAATGGCCAGTAAGCCCAGAAAAGATGCTCAGCATCCCCAGTCGTCAGGGAAATGCAATTGCAAACCACTGTGAGATTTCACCTCACCCCTCGACATGACTAAAGTTTTGCAGAGAGAAGAACAAGTGTGGGTGGGGATGCAGGGGAATCGGCATCCTCTCTCATTGCTGGAGCAAACCCAAGGGTGGTGCAGCCACCGTGCAAAACAGCCCGTCCTCACACGGCTACACAGAGTCACCGTATGACCCGGCACATCTCTATTCTGGTGTGTGCTCAGCAGAACTGAAAACACGTTCTTGTAAAAGCCTATGCACAAATGTTCGTAATAGCACTATTTGGAATAGCCAGAGTATGGATGCAACCCACATGTCTATCAGAGGACAAGTAAAGGAACAAAATTGGTGTATCTACATGATGGAACAGGCTTCAGCCCTGCAAGAAACAACATTCTGGTACCTGCTGCAACACGATGAGCCTTGAAAACATTACCAGGTAAATAAAGCCAGTGCAGCAGGCCACAAGCTGTGTGATCCCATGTATAGGAAGTGCCGCGATCAGGCACGGGAACAGAGACATAAATCCATCAGTGGCTGCCAGGCTGGAGGGGAGCAGGAATGGAGGCTGAGTAGGCTGGGGTTTCTCTGTGGAATAAAAATATTCTCTAGCTAGGTAGCAGCGATGGTTACGCAGCATTGCAGATATACTAAAACTACCAAGCAAACAAATCTCTGGCTTATACACTTTAAAATCGTTAAAATTGTGAATTTTATGTCACGTGAGAATTGTTTCTCAATGTAACAAATTAAAGAATAAAAATCGGTGCAGGGGAAATAGACACACTCACCAGTGAGCTAAAACTGGGAACCCCCCCCCCGGCAGACGCAAACCGGGGGAAGTGCCAAAGGGAGACCTTCAGGTGGAAGGACATTAGCAGTGCAGAGGTGGCATGAAGAGTAAACCAGGCCAGGGCTCAGGCCTGCAGTCCCAGCAGGGGGGCAGGCAGAGGCAGGAGGGTCCCTGAAGCCCAGGAGCTCAAGACCAGCCTGGGCAACAGAGCGAGACCCCGGCTCTGAAAAAGCGAAAGAATATCAAGGAAAATGGCATGAATAAGGATAAGTGTAAATACATATCGATTTTATAAAACACCAGAGAGGTTAAAAATAAAGACATTCAGGTGGGGTAAACGGAGTCCAGGTGACCTAAGGCCGTTGTGTTGTTTGGGAAGTCAGTGGGCATCCCGGCTAGTGTCAGCTGCGTTATGCCAAGAACACAAGCTGTGATTGGTTGGCAACTACTACAAAAGAAGAGTAAAAGCATGTAAAATTTCTAAGCTAAAATAAAGGAAACATGGCATAGTTTTGTTAATGGACAAGAAAAAACAAAACAAAACAAGAAAAGTGAGGAAAAGGCACAGGCAGGAAGTAGAAAGCACTAAACAAAACATGGAAATGCCTTCCCCGCCGTCCTCCCGGAGCACCTCCGCTGTCTGGCTTTCAGATTCACATCCACACCCCACCTGGAATTGCTCTTGAGCACAGAAGAGGGCAGGAGTCTGATCTTGCCGTTTAACTCCTGGGTTAAATCCGACTGGCCCGGGGACAGCCGCCAGCCCTCCTCCCTCCTCAGGAAGCTCACGCCGGCTGGCAGGAAACACAGGCTGCCCTTTGCTTCCTTTGAAGACACCTGTTGCTCACCTGCTTTGCTGAGGGGCAGAAAGACGCCAGGATAAGTCAGAAATGGCCCTGCCCGAGTCCCTTGGGGGCCAGAGCATCTTTAACCCTTGTCGCCCGCCCCCACCCCCACACTATAACGAGCAGAGGATTCGCCCTGGTGTGGGCAGCTCAGTCTGTCCGGGTCCGACCTGGTTCTCTGGCTGCTGTGGGGTCCACGACTCCTTGAGCGACCTCCTGCAGTGGGGTCTCAGGAAACTGTTTCTTAACCAAGGGGATCCCAATGTCCTCATTCGTGCAATCTCCCGGGCAGCCTTTTAACCACAGGTCACCAGGCCACGCTCAGGGCGTGGGCTTCGGCGGGCCCCAGCAGGGCTGGTCATCTGACAGGTCTGCAGGTGATGCCCACGGTGCCGGCCCTGGGTCCAAGCTGAGAACAGCTGCCGGTTAGCCCTCCACTCACGTCTCCCTAACCCGGAGACCCTCATTTCCAAATGGCGGTTGGTGGTTCCGCCAGCACCCCAGACCTCGGGAGACAGGCGGGTCTTCTGCCTGTGTCGAGGACAGCACAACCACCACCACCCCAGACCCACTTGCCTCAGCGACATCCAGCTGCACCCCCTCCCATCTCCAGCCTGCACCCTCTCCCACCTCCAGCCTGCACCTCCTCCCGCCTCCAGCCTGCACCCCCTCATACCTCCAGCCTGCATCCTCCACCCCCAGCCTGCACCCCGTCTCACCTCCAGCGCCTGCACCCAATACCCCAGCCTGCACCCTTCCCACCTCCAGCCTGCACCCCCTCATACCTCCAGCCTGCACCACCTCATACCTCCAGCCTGTACCCTCTCCCACCTCCAGCCTGCACCCTCATCCCACCTCCAGCCTGCACCCCCTCATACCTCCAGCCTGCACCCCTCATACCTCCAGCCTGCACCCCTCCCACCTCCAGCCTGCACCCCCTCCCACCTCCAGCCTGCATTCCCCCACCCTCTACCCCTTCCTGCCAGTTCTACACGTTCCGCCTTCCTCCCATTCTCCCTTCTCACTCGGGCAGTCATTGGGGTTTGCTGGTCAGCTCCAGCTCGTCCATTCCTGATTTTTCCCGTTGCCCACTGGACAGGTCGTGAGTCCATAACCGTGCAGTGGGAAACCGCCCCCAGGCAGCCAGGCAGCAAGCTTCGGTCTCCAGCAAGGAGCTGGTGGGTGGGAGGGACCTCTCCCACACTGCTGTGGGCGTGACCCGCTCTCCTCTCTGCCCGAGGCCCCAGGACCCTTCTGACGCACCTGTCTCCTGCTGCATGCCACACGAAGCTGGTCATGCCCCTTGGAGGCCACTTGTCTCCCTCAGAACCAGGAGGTTGCGGGGCTGCCCTTGGTCACACTGAGGTCTGCATAACCAACGTGGTAGGTGCTGAATGATAACCCTTACCTTCACTCTCATCCTAACCCCTGACCCTGACCCTGACCTAACCCTAAGCCTCACCCTCACCCTAAGGCCTGACCCTCACCCTCATCCTCAACCTGACCTGAACCCCTGGCCCTAATCCCTGACCCTAACCCCCAGCATAACCTGCACCTTCACTCCAACCCTGTCCCTGGCCCTGACACTAACTTCTAATCCTCACTCTTACCCTCACCCTACCCTAACCCCTGACCTTGACCCTCACCCTGACCCTCGCCGGCGGTGCCTGCGCTCAGAAGTCTGTCTGGCCTCACCTGAGCCTGAGAAGGGCGTGAAAGGTGATGAAGGAAGCCTGGTGCCCGCTGTGACCCTCTGTTTATAGTGAAACCTGTCCCCTCGCTTGCTGGGGCCTCAGCCCGCTGCCTCCCCCTGCTCAGGGCCCCCCGCCCCGAAGCCTTTCCTGGGGACAGTCCTGACTCACCCCTGCACACAGCGGCCTGCGCTCCCGGTGCC